TTATGTAGTTTTAGTTAAACATAAATTTTGATTTAATGTTTTCGTCAAGTATTCGTGTTGTTATTCCTTTTGAAAAAAAAAAACTATTTGTTTTAGAAAAATAATCTCTAAGACATTTTAGTAATTTATTTGACATTAAGCATCATATTTAAATTTTAAAAAAAATAAGTATTATAGGTTGAAAATTAAAATTTTAATATTATAATTAAATTAATAAAGACGTCCAATATCTTTATAAAAAAAATTATAATGGTAGAATTATAACATTTATCTTCAACTACATGAAAAAATGTCACAATAATAAGAGATATACAAATAATTTTATTTACGAATAATACAAAATATACGTTTTGTCGTATTTGTTCATTAGTAGTCTAGTTGATTACATGTTAATAATTAACATGCTTACTTGAGACGTATCGTAAATTAAACATTTAATATCACAAAAACTTTATATAAATAAAGTAGGTTTATCATGATAAATAATATATTCCAATCATTTTACGAATAATTAACACTATATCTTTAAAGAAAAAAACTGAAATGTGATACAAATGTGTTATATATCGTAGTGCATGAATACAAATATGTTATATATCATACTATATGAATACTTAAAACAATATTAACTTTTTATATAACAAATGATGATATAATTAACACTATATCTTTAAAGAAAAAAACTGAAATGTGATACAAATGTGTTATATATCGTAGTGCATGAATACAAATATGTTATATATCATACTATATGAATACTTAAAACAATATTAACTTTTTATATAACAAATGATGATGTTTAATAAAATCTATGTATTTTTTTCTTTGCGTTTGCTTTGTTTTAATGAAGTTTTTATAATATATTAGTAGGTTTATCGTTAAACATAAATAAAAAAAAGTATCAAATGACTAACTCAAATGTTTTAGGTTAATATGTGGAAGTTAATAAATATATAATATTGTTATGGTAAAAAATAAAAATATAATTATTTAAGTTGAATCATATTACTTGAATGATCTCATTTATTATATATTAGGCAAAAACCTGCACGTTGTGAATGAATAAAACTATGGTGATTAAAATTAAACAAACACAAACCCAATTAAATGATGACCAATATCCCCTTTCGTCGAAGGGTGGATGAGGATAACATCCCCAAAAAGTATGGGTGAGCATAGACCGGGTTGCGTTGGTTTTTGGGTAAAACCGAATCCAACCCGTGTATTCCGGTTTTTGAGTTTTAGAACCAATTAAATTCGGTTTCTCGGCTCAAACTATGGGTTCACGAGTTTTGAGTTTAAACTCATTTAATGACATACTAGTTGTGAGACCCGTATATTATACGGGTTGATTAAAACAAAATTTTAAATAAGAACGATTAAATAGGAAGTTTATTTGAATTTGAAATCTGAAATAAATGAAATTATGAGAAAAAAAAACATGCAAAAAATAAATAAATTAAAATTATGTGTTTAGTTGTCAGGCTCGTGTACTAAATTGGTTAATTATAACAAAATGTTAAATACAAATGTTTCAACTGTAAATTTATTTGAAATTTAAAATTTAAAATTTGAAATTAATATTCATTATTGTAAGTTTAATTTATGGAAACTAAATTAATGATATACTGGAAATGAAAAATGAATTAAATGACAAGTGGAAAATAAATATAAATATCCTCCTTAATAAATGAATGTTTTTTTGCCACATGTCAATCTCTCATGAGTTTTGACACTTGTCATTTTATGGTATTTTTGAAATAAATATTATCCACTTGTCAATTTTTGATTTGTTTCAATTTTTAAAATTAAAGTCATACTTATATATGTAAAGTATTAAATATCATATATATGATATTAAATTGCAATAAATACGTTTCTTCCTTTCTTATTTTAAAGTTGTACATTAAAAAATATTTTCTGTTTATATTTTAATTTAATGTTTAATCTTTTTTTAAATCAACCCGTATAATATACGGGTCTCACACCTAGTATATCTCATAATTATAACAAAATGACATGTAACCAATTGAATTAGAGAATAACATGTGGCAAAGTCATTATTATTTATTAGGATAGATATGAAATTGTCGATATTATGAATAACCCATAACGAACCTCTTATTAACATCTTAATTGAGTAATAAAATATCCCTGGTGAATAAGAAAATATAATTAAAAATATGATTGAAACTATCAAACGATTATCAGTTAAACCATTAAACCATTATAGTGGATCCTCATGACAACGAGTAATAAGCAAACGAGTAAAAATGAACATCTACTAAGCACAACAACAAAAAATGAACAATAAAACCAATCAAAGGAAGCGAACTTATCACCTAATGAATAAGGGACTGTTCTCCATTGAACTAGTATACATTTTGTACATAAACTATCTAATATTATTTATATATAATATATTCTATTATGATTATACAATTTTGGATCGGTTCAGTTTTTTTGGGTCGGTTTGTAATGTAGAAACCGAACCCAAACCGATTTTTTCGGTTTTAAAAAATCCAAATTTAAAACTGACGGTTTGGGTTTGGGTTTAATTTTTCGGTTTGGGTTTTGTTGGTTTTCGGTTTCGGTTTTACTCACTCGTACCGAAAATGACGATGGGTTGGTAGAGATAGCATAGGTGAGATGTGAGGTCAAGTGTGTGAAGTGTATGTATATGTGTAAGCTTTTTATTACATATGTATATGTGTAGTGTCTTTGATGTGAAGAACATGGAAGATGGGATGAAGAACACGATCATAGAGACATATGGAGAGAGGGAGGGGAGGGCTACCGGTGAAGAGGGGTAGGGGTGGGATTTTATTTTTTATATTTTTGTAATTATTTAAATACTAAAGTAAACTAGAAGGTGATATGTGTTTCGCGGCGGTTGAAATTTTTTTGTCATGTTTACGTTTCTTTGGTTTTTTTCTCGTTTGTTGTTTCTATTTTGTGTGTATAATGTTACGAGGACAGTAGGACAATGTAGTACATCATCATATGCACAATTCATGTAAATATAATTCTACACAGAGACCTATTTCGTAAATTATAGGAACGGTTCTTGAAATTTATTTTCTATGTAGTGACCAAACATGTCAAACCTGCAACATGCCAATATACGAAACGTAAATGGGTAGAACTTGTCGTTGTTCAAATTGAGGGGAGTAAAACTAACATTTTACAAAGTACGGGGATGGAAAGTGACATTCAACAAAGTAACGACATGGGAAGTGTGAACGTACAAAAATGTAGGGATCAAATCTGCCAACATAGGAAAGTTTTATGGCCAAAGTCTAAAATAAGTCTAAAATAACAAATCAAATTAATGGGGTAAAACTAACATTTTACAAAGTACGAGGATGGCAAGTAACATTCAACAAAGTAACGGTGTGGGAAGTGTGAGTAGTGGCGACTCAACAAGTTCGGGGGCTCTAAGCAAACCAAAAATTTTAGGCCCCTTGGTTTTTATGTATACTTAATGTTATAAGCCCTCCACCTGAATTTGGGGCTTCTTGTTGCATTTTCTTTTTCCTTTTTAAAACCCTTTATTCGTATTTTATATTAGACATGATTATTGATTGATAATATCAATCACCAATTTGTTTAATTAAATTGAACTACAATAGGGTAATAGATAGAGAATCGGCTAACAATCAGTCAATCATCCTAATCGGCTAATCGTAAATTTTAATAGAGAATAGATTAAGGAAAGGAAAACAGTCTAACAATAACAGTAACAGAATATGAAAGTGAAACACATACCATTCGGGATTTGAACAATTGAGAATTATGATAAAAGAATAGAAGATAGATGAATGTGTATTGTGTGGGACTCGGAAATCAGAACCTCAGATGAATGCATCACAGGCTTGCAACATCGTTTAAGTTTAAGAATTGGTCGATCGGATGAATCATGAATGCAGTGAGCGTTGTTTGGCGTAATGTCGTTCATTTATTCTTCCGCAGTTTCTCTTGATTTATTTTGTGGTTACGGACAAGACAATGACTAATGTTTTAATGGACTAAACTTTTAGACTTCGGAGACTGAGGCCCCTCAGAATTGGGGACCCTAAGTCGTAGCTTAAAAGACCACAACATAAGGTCAGCCCCGAGTATGAACGTACAAAAATGTAACGACCAAATATACCAACATAGGAAAGTTTTATGGTCAAAGTCTAAAATAAGAAAGTTTTATGGGCAAAGTCGAAAATAACAATGTTTTATAGCCAATGTGTAAAACCGTAAAAGTATATTTTATGGTCAAAGTCTAATATAAGAAACTTTTATTGTCAAAATCTAAAATTATAAAACTATACTATTCCTAAGTGGCACATGAATTGATAAATATGTATAATAAAGAAAAATGTAACAAAATAATAATAATAATAAGGATAATATAATCCTTTCAAATTAATCAGGACCAAATTCACAGGAAGTTCCTAATCTTAGAACTTCTATGCAATTTTGAAACTTTTTGGACCCGCCCACAAAATTTGCAAACGACGGATAAATTTTGCAATTTTGTCTTTAATATGTCCTCTCACAAGAGGTAACATTTTAACCATCTAGTTGTGTTGCATGGTTCAGATGGTTTTGTAACTTAGATGCCTACAATGTATGTGCCAAATGTGGGTTGTGCTCTCTTCCTCAGTCCTTAAACATAAAAGGATTCATTGTTCTATTTCCAATCATCCGAGAGATAGTAATCAACCCCTTTTGAAGATGATAAATCTTGCACATACCCACTTTGATTATAACTTTTATTAATCAACTCCCTTAGCCAAAACGTTGACATTAAATTCAAAAATACCACAAAAACTAAAAAAAAGATATTGATGTGTTGATATTATATTTGAACAAACCACAAAAACCAAAGAAAGAATATTGATGTGAGCTATTATATGACTTTCATCTAATGCTCAATATTAAGTTATCTAGTTCTCCTTGTATTTTGTTTCTATTTAGGAGTTTCAAAACAGATTAAAACATAAAAGTAAAAGAAGTAATCACAATATTTAGATTAAAAAAAATGGACTCATCTCAAAAACAAATTTGGTAATGATAAAGGGACTATATGTTCAAAAGTACAAAAATCCATAAGAATCACAAAGGTCAATGGTCAACGCCCAAAGCATTTCAAGACTCCTGAAGTCATTGAAGATGTTAGAAATTTCATCCCTGCTGATCCACCCGGGAAATATGAAATACAATAGTATGCAAGGGCAAGAACCTGTCATAAAATGATAAACAAATTATATTTATTATTATTATTTTTTTAAATTTAAAACAAGAATGAATTTTTGATACCTGAATAACAGCAAAGAACACAGAGAGGATATAGCTATGAAGAACCATGGAAACATAAATGGTCCCCACCATGCTGCCTATGAATCCCAATGTAAAAGGAAGTCTCTGAAACAAATTTAAAAAAAAAAAAAAAATGTTAGAAAATGATCTGATTAAGATTGTGTTTGTTTAGTAGTTTACCTCTGATGATGTCATATGCAGAAACTGGTTTTTTGGGCCTTTAAGCATGAAGAATGCCCCGATTATGAAACCACATCCAACAGTGAAACAAAGAGCAAATTTCTGAGGGACTATTACTATTACAGGGAGAAAAATGGTAAATGCCACGAAAATGAAGAACACCCCTGATGCAAGTAGAAGCCCAAAATACATGAGAGATTTTCCTGAAGGGATGTTACTTGTAGCAGACTGTAAATTTCCTGGTATGTTACTCACTCCTCTAGATACCCTGAACAAGAATCAAACAGACATTTTTCAATTTTCATAATTTTCATAATCAAGCATTGCCATTATCAACTTCAAATTGCACGAATCACAAGTAATAGAAGGTGGTTATTGATTATTAGGTTAACGTTAATAGCCAAGAAGAATTGAGAAATCGTAAGCTCAATTTTGCAGATCACGAAGCCTAGATCAAATTACAAGTGTGAGATTACAGAGTCTGTTCTTTAATTCTCAATCTAGCCTTGATTGTAAACATTATCAAGTGAAAATTCAAGTGTTCAGTCGTTTGTTCACAAAAAATTCATCGACATTCAAACAGATCAATGAAATACGGAAGGATCCCCAAATCAGCAACTCGATTACTCAATTAGTTTGGTAAAATAAACCGAGGAAGAAATTGTAGAGCGGCTTACACATTGAAGGTGCCAGTCACAGTGTCGTTGGCAGACCTAACAGCCGATTCAATATCAAACGAACCAACGAGGCTACTAGAGCCTACATCGGAGCCTTTTGTAGCAGCATACGAGTTCCAATCTGCTAGCAGCGACGAAGAGGAAGACGACAACGTCTTTGGAAGTGAATTGCGATTAGTATCGCCGCTACTGTCACCGCCGGCGGCGGAAAACCAATTTTGCATCTTTCAGTTTCGAATCCAAGCTGTTGTGCTTGATTTGAATTTGGGATCGGAACTGAAAACCAGTTCCTCGAAGGATACAGGTGATGTTGTTGGAAGCGTTCTTCGCCTACTGGTTAGTTGTGTACTAGTAGATTCTTCTTCTTCTTCTGTCAACAGAATATTATAGGCAAAAATAGCCCTCGGCCGAAGTTCTTCGCACTCCACGGTCTCATCCTTCGTTAGGAAGTTTTCAAGCTCACTCTTTAAGTTTTGATAAATATTGATTATTTGATTAATATTATATTTTCGGATTTTTTTAGTTAATTTTTTTTTTCTTTCTAATTTTAATAGTTTGGCAATGTCTTTTAAACATGATTTTTTTTTTGAGAAATTAAATTGTCTCCTATTATGTTTTCCTACTATGTTTTCCTATTATCTTTCCTACCCAATAAAGTTATGACACTTGTTATCAATCTTCCATCTCATCTAATTTAATTTGATATCCCTATAATGCTCTTAATGAGGTAAATGAAAATTAAAAAAAAAAAAAAAAACATCACGTAAATCTTCAATCCTCGTTCGTCTCTAATCGTCTCTAAGCCCTTCTTCTCGTCTACTTCAATCGAAAAAACTTTCACATCCCATGTATTTTTTTCAGTTATTTTAACTTGTAATTCTTCTATTTTTGTTTCTGCTGGTGTTTGATGTTATTGATGGAAGAAAATTAATGTTCAATCGTATTTGTGTTTTCTAAGTTGGAAACTGAAACATATGCATATATATATATATATATATATATATATATATATATATATATATATATATATATATATATATATGCTAACTTGTATCGTAAATAGTTTTTGTGTTTCCTAATTTGAGGACCGAAGGTTCTACTTCTATTAACTTGGTGCAATTGTATCACAAATGGTCACATATCTGCAAAGTTAGAAACTAAAACATTTTTGTCCGGTAACTTGGATGAACTTGTATCACATAGTTTTATGTTTGTTGATTTAGAGATTTAAGGTTCTACATCTATTAAATTGGATGCAACTGTACTGCAAATGGTTTTGCATCTGTTAATTTGGACATGGAAGCTTTTGTATATGATAATTTCAAAATTAGTAACAATATAATGAAGGAATTTGCTGAGTCTACTATTATTAATATGACTATTGATAGGAAAAACTTGAGGAATATAGTGATATCATTATTTATCAAATCACATAAAAGCTTAAATTAGATTTTCACCTACAACAATCTATGATCATTTTACAAATAGATATCAATATACATCTTGTCAACAATAATTGAACACAACCACATTTATTCGTACCATAGGCTTTTAGCATAGCAGTATAGTGTAGTGATATACACTTCTTTTTTTGGTTGGGCTCAAGTCCGGTCCATGACATAAATGTAATTAAGGAGTAATTTTAAAAATAGATTAAAATGTGTACGTAACCGTATAGAAAAACCATTTATTCATGTCCTATAAACAATAAACAATACGATGTTTCATTTAAATTTATTGTTGAAAACATAAACAACAAGAATAGGCTTGTGAATTATGAGTTAAAATGAAAAATTGGTCCAAACAAAACACTAAAAGATCTAAGACAAAAATGAAAAAAATTGAGGGTTTTTTTCAAAATAAAAAAGTTTAGCTCAAAACATAATAATTCTAAAAATCTAACGTCTTTTATAATATTAACCCATATATTTTAATCTGATTATGAGTTTGTCAGTATAACTATTCATAAAATTGTCTTACTAAATAACATTAAATTTTTACCATTTTTTGTAACGCCCGATTATCAGTTATTGATATGATTTTCTTGATTTCAAGGTCTACTCGACGAGTTGGTTTCCCTACTCGTCGAGTAGCAGCGGGTTGGTCCACGTATTTTAGTGACCTACTCGCCGAGTCCAAGAAGGGACTCGACGAGTAGGAGCTGACAGATGAAACCCTAAATTTCGGGGTTATGTACCCTATTTAAAGGATCATTGGCCTCCCCCAGCCTCCCCTTTACAGCTTCTTGACATC